TACTACTACTACTACTGCTGCAGCTGCTGCTTCTACTGGTACTACTGTTTCTTCTTCTACTACTACTACTACGACAACTACTTTTACTACTACTCCTGCTACTACTACTACTACTACTACCACTACTACTACTACTACTACGCCTACTACTACTACTACTACTTCTACTACTACTGGTGCTACTACTACTACTACTATTGCTACTTCTACTACTACCACTACTACTACTACTACTACTACTACTACTACTGCTACTACTACCACTAGTATTACCACATATCCTACTACTACTACTACTGCTACTACTACTACTACTACTACTACTACTACTACTACTACTACTACTACTACGACGACGACAACTGCTACTACTACACGGCGACGTCCTACTAACGACTGCCTCGACTACGACTAGCTTACGACTATACTACTACTACGACTAAAACAAACACCACGAACTACTAATATACTACTACTACTACTACATACTACTACTACTACTAATGCTGCTATTACAACAGCTACTACCACTACTACGACTACTACTACTAGTCTCTACTACTTACTACTCCCTACTAACACTACTAACTACGACTAAACTACTACTACTACTACCACTAACTACTACTAAAACTAAAACTACTACTACTACTACTGCTACTACTACTACTACGACGACGACTACTACTATTTTACTACTACTATTACACTACTACTACTACTACTGAGATGTACTGCTACTACTCTACTACTGACTACCACTACTTACTACTCCTACTACTACGACTACTACTACTACTGCTACTACTACTACTACTACTACGACTACTACTACTACTACTACTACTACTACTACGCTACTACTACTACTACTGCTACTACTACTACGACTACTACTACTACTACTACTACTACTACTACTACTAGTACTACTACTACTACTACTACTACTACGGCTACTGTTACTACTACTACGACGACGACAACTACTACTACTACTACTACCACCACTACTACTACTACTACTACTACTACTACTGCTGCTGCTGCAGCTGCTGCTTCTGCTGATACCACTGTTTCTTCTTCTTCTACTACTACCACTACTACTACTACGACAACTACTTTTACTACTACTACTACTACTACTACTACTACTACTACTACTACTACTACTACTACTACTACTACTACTACTACTACTACTACTACTACGACTACTACAGTTACCACTACTACTGCTACTGCTACTGCTACTGCTACTCCGTCTGCTACTGCTACTACTACTACTACTACTATTGCTACTTCTACTACTACCACTACTATCACTACTACTACTACTACTACTACTACTACCACTAGTATTACTACATATCCTACTACTACTACTACTGCTACTACTACTACGACTACTACTTCTACTAATACTACTACTACGACTACTACTACTACTACTACTACTACGACGTCGACGACTACTACTACTGCCTCGACTACGACTACGAATACGACTACTACTATTACTACGACTAAAAAAACACCACGAACTACTACTACTATTACTACTACTACTACTACTACTACTACTACTACTACTACTACTGCTATTACAACAGCTACTACCACTACTAGTAGTACTACTACTACTACTACTACTACTACTCCTACTACTTACCCTACTAACTACGGACACTACTACTACTTAAAAACTACTACTACTACTATGCTCTAAAAACTACTACTACTACTACTACACTGCTACTACTACTACTACGACGACGACCGACTACTACTATTACTACCTTACTACTGCTACTACTAATATACTACTACATACGACTACTACGATTACTACTCCTACTACTATTACGACTTACTGCTACTAAATACTGACTCTACGTACTACAACAACTACTACTACTGCTGCTGCTACTACTAGACTACTACACTCACTACTTACTTACCACTACTCGCACTACTACACTTAACTTTCAGTCTACTTTACTACTACTACTACTGCTATTACAACAGCTAACTACCACTACTAGTTTACTACTGACTACTACTAATTACAACTACGACTACTAATATTACTACTACTACTACTACTACTACTACTACTACTACTACTACTACTACTACTACTACTACTACTACTACTACTACTACTACTAGTACTACTACTACTACTACTACTACTACTACTACTACTACTACTACTACCACCACGACTGCTACTACTACCATACTACTACTACTACTACTACTACTACTACTACTACTACTACTACTACTACTACTACTACTACTACTACTACTACTACTACTACTACTCTCCCTTCTCTGGCGATTCCGAATCGTGATTATGATCCGGATCATGATTAGGATCACCATCAGCACGTCTACCAGCTCACCATCGTCGCCACCACCGCCATCGCCATCGAAATCCGCCGATCCGGCGTGTGAGTTTAAGAAAGCTACAACCTGAGCTTCAGCTCTGCTGGGGGGGGGCCGGGGGGGCTCTGCCGGGGTAGGGGGGGGGAGGGGGGGGGGTTCATCGGGTCCACCCTTTCTTTCCCCCCCACCCTGGGAATCCCAAACCGCCCCAAGACGGGCCAAAAGGGGGCCAGGAGGCCACCAAGACGGTCCAGGAGGCGCCCGAAACGGCCCAAGAGCGCTCCTGGACGCCCAAGATGGCCTGAAGACGGCCCAACAGGCCTCCAAGACGCCTCAAGGAGATCCCAAGAGGACCCTCCAGAGGGCCCCAAGAGGGTACAATAATAAAGTTGCTAATAGTTTTTGAAGCATTTAAACATTATCGCCTTTTCCGTGTTAGAAGCGCCGAAGACGGTCCAATGAGGCCCCCAAGATCGCTCCAAGACAGCCCAAGAGGCCCCCAAGAGGAGCCAAGACGGTCCAAGAGGGCCCCAATATAGCCCTGGAGGCCCCCCAAGACGACCCCGAGAGGCCCCCATGATGGCCTCAAGAGGGTGAATCCGAACGGACCCTTCTAGCCCTCCACCCCAAGATGACCCCAAGAGCCCCCAAGATGCCCCCGAGGCGCCCCCAAGGGGCCCACAGAGGCCCCCAAGAGGTCCCCAAGAGGCCCCCAAGAGGACCCCGAGAGGCCCAAAAGAGGCCCCAAAGGCCCCCAAGAAGCCCCAAGAACCAAGAGGCCCCAAGAGGCGCTCACTCGCGTGCTGCCAGGCCACGGCCTGACTTGGTATTGCTCGGAAGCGAAAGCGATGAACGAAGAACCTTCCACCCGTCGCCGTCACCAGTCGTCGGTCGTCGGCCGTCGGCAGCCGTTCGCCGTCAGTCGTCGTCGTCGTCGTCGTCGTCGTCGTCGTCGTCGTCGTCGTCGTCGTCGGTTCGTCGTCATTAACTCCTTCGTCGGTCGTCGTCGCAATTATCCCGCTCGTCGACCGTTGGTCGTCCGTTGTCGTAGTCATCGTCCATTTCAACAACAATAGCATCAGGAGCGCCCCGGATCGGCGGCACTGGCCGGAGGCCACTACAATCGTCATCACCATCGATCCCATCACCACCACAATCAGCAGCATCACAATGACCATCATTGCTGGAATCGTTGTCGCCATCGTCGCCATCATCTTCAGCATCATCAGCATCATCAACAATATCACCATCGTCATCATCATATCAGATTCATCATCACCAGCGCCGTCCATCATCGACGTCCCCATGATGAGTAGTCGTAGTATCACCAAAAACATCATCAATCACAATCATCACCATCAGCAGCAGCCTCAAAATCATAAGCAGCGTCAGCGTCGCCATCGTCCTCGCACTTGTGTTTCTTCATCGCCGTGACTATCGAAATCCTGGTCGTCCCGGCCACCGTCCTCGCCGGCATCGTCATCAGCACCATCACCAGCTTCATCATCACCAGCACCATCATCAGCATCGCCATCATCAACATCGCCTGCCCCCTTCATCATCACGTGCCTCCTTACTCCATGGAGTCCTGGCTTCTCCCTCCTACCTCATAAATCGTGGTCGTCCTTATCCTCAGCCTCCGTCGCCCTCGTCATTCCCACTCCTATCACACGAGGCCTCGTCCTTATTGTTCTGCTGCTGCTCATCCTGCTCGTCATTATCGTAACTCTCCTAGCTCAGGACCATGCTCAGGCCCATGCTCAGGCCCAAGATCATTATCCTTACCTCAAGGACCATGCTCAGGCCCAAGATCGGGAGGCCGCATTCAAAGATATTGACGTCCCTTTTTCTGGCCCAACTTCCCCCCTCGGACCTCGGTGGGACGGACGGGGGCTCGACAGCGATGCAGAGCAACGCTGCGAGTACATATCCAGGCTCCAGGACTTGTGGAAACAATGGACCCTCCCTTGGGGTTTGTGGGTCTCGGTCAAGAGGCAGACGACCCCCCGCAACCTCCAGCCAGCTAGGCACCCTACACCCTCCCCCAAACAGGGGATGGGCTGGCGAATACCCCCATATCACCTGAAGCCCCGCTGTCACCACGTCGTCGTCCTTTTCCTCCTCCTGTTCACCCCCGTGCTCTTCCCCTTCCTCGTTCTCCTTGCTCCAATCCTCCCCCTCCCTCTCGACATCCTCCCGTGGCTCCTCCCTGCTCCCCTAACTTTGTCTCCTTCATTCCCTTTCCCATCATCCCCATGGCCATTCTCCTCCCGCTCGTCTTCTGTTTCTCTTTATCATCATCGTCCACCTCGTCGTCGTCAGGGTTATTTCTCCTCCTCATCCTCATCGTCCTGCTCCCGCCCCCTCCACCTCCTCTTCCTCCCCTTCCGCGTCAGGCGCACCCTCCACCTCCTGCCCCCTCCACCTCCTGCCCCCGCCCCCTCCACCTCCTGCCCCCTCCACCTCCTGCCCCCTCCGGCTCCTCATCGTCTGCTCCGCCCCCTCCGCCTCCTCATCGTCTGCTCCGCCCCCTCCTCCGTCCTGCCCCCGCCATGAGCAGCTCCCCTTCCGCGTCGGGCGCCCCGGGCGCGGCGACGCACAAGGCCTGTCGCCCTCGTCGCTGCGGCTGCGGTCGCGGCTGCGGCTGCGGCCTCTCCTGAGGAGCAGAGGAGGAGCGGGAGGAGGAGGAGGAGGAGGAGGAGGAGGAGGAGGAGGAGGAGGTGGAGGAAGGTGGAATAGGAGGAGGACAAGGAGGAGGAGTAGGACGAGGAGAAGGAAGAGGACGAGGAGGAGCAGAGGAGGAGCGGGAGGAGGAGCAGGAGGAGGAGGAGGAGGAGGAGGAGGAGGAGGAGGAGGGGAAGGAGGAGGAGCGGAGCCGCAGCAGCAGCAGCAGCAAATGTACCAGCAGAGGTGCCCTACTAGAAGGCTCTGTGGTGCGCCTTTGCTTGTACAGTTGTTCGCATCGAAGCTTGTCCGCACAGGTGAGTCCACTGCAGCGGCAGGGAAAACAGGAGGAGAGTGGACGAGAATAGCCAGTAGGAGGAGGAGCAACGAGAGGAGGAGAAGGAGGAGGAGGCGGAGAAGGAGGGAATGCCACCACAGGGAAGATATAATAACTGGCCGACCCGACCCAACTATTCTGCTTTGGCCGGCCGTCCTGGAAGTTCGTTCCGTCTTGGCGACAGCCCTGCACCATGCCTCCATGAGGGAGAACGCGAGCGGTGTCGAGACTAGTAGTAGTAGTAGTAGTAGTAGTAGTAGTAGTAGTAGTAGTAGTAGTAGTAGTAGTAGTAGTAGCAGGAGTAGTAGAAGTAGTAGTAGTAGTAATAGTAGTAGTAGTAGTAGTAGTAGTAGTAGTAGTAGTAGTAGTAGTAGTAGTAGTAGTAGTAGTAGTAGTAGTAGTAGTAGTAGTAGTAGTAGTAGTCGTAGTAGAAGTAGTCGTAGTCGTCGTAGTAGTAGTAGTAGTAGTAGTAGTAGTAGCAGCAGCAGCAGCAGCAGCAGCAGCAGTTGTAGTAGTGGTAGGAGGAGGAGGAGGAGGAGAACGGCTCGGATGACCAGGGGTCAGTTTCAAAAAAAGAATGGCCTGTTTGCTTCAGCGAGGGGCTTAAGAAGAGTTGCACTAAGCCCTGAGTGAGTCTATCCACAAACTGCTGCCCGAGGGTGCGCACGGCTGGCGGTCCTTCACGAGGTCTCGACTAGTGGGGGTGGCGTGTGCCCCGTAGCTGACACAAACACGCTCCTCGTCCTGAAACCACCATGTCTTGAGACAAGTGTGCACAAAACGCTCCGATGAAAAGCGACGAAACAATCGTGTGCACCTGCCGGGCATCGGGAACGGTCCTCGTTTCCAGGAAAGCTCGGCTCGGCTTCGCGCAATGCGAACTAGTAGAGACGACCGACAAAGAAGGCTTGTGCTGATACTTGCCGCCTGCTCCAACAGGCTCCACCTGGTGAGAGGTGGCAACCATGGCACGCGGGAGTTCGGCCCGAGAAGGCTTCGGGCCACCCACCTTGGGGTTCGGCTTGGCTTTCGCTCTCGGGAGCTCTCGCTTCAGACGGGGACAGGGCCCCTGGCTGCAGCCCGTGTGCCCAACAATGTCGGTCGCTCCATTTCGGATGGATTTACCTAGGGCCAATCCTAGCTTCACTGCAGGAGGAGGGGTAAGAGACGATAGCGGACTCCTCAGAAGGCTGAGAAGCTTCCCGAGCCTTCTCCGAGGCCACAACGTCTGCTCAGAAGGCCCGGATGGCTTCTCGGAAGCCCCGCCGCCTCTTGAGAAGGCCTGCCCCGTCGCAACCCCCCTTCGGCGCGCCACCGCATGCAACAGATGACATCGGCCTCGACGTCTCTGGAGAAGCCAAGACATCTCGATACCGATGCTCCCGACACCTCTCGTGGGGTGCGCTCGGACCAGACTTTCGAGGCGGCTCCAGCCGTGCTTGCAGGGGCCTCCCGGGAGGCCCAGAGAAAGGCGAGAACGAGGGAAGGGCAGTGGCATCGGTACCCTGTACAGGGCAGTTTCTAATACATAGGATTTTAAAGATATCGGGCTCTTAATACATGATTTATTTATGAATAAATGTATGCATGAACTCATCGTTGCTTCTAATACTAAATCCCTGCATTTTTAAAACATGATCCGCACGAGGAGCATGTATTAAAAACGGCACTGTACCTCCTCTGAGTCTCCGTCCTCGCAGGCGTCGTCGTCCGAGGTGCAGTCGCCGGAACGCATCCCGAGGCTGGGAAACCAAGCAGAACTGACGGCAATTCCAAAAAAACTCGAATCTCGATGGGGAATCTACTGATCCAGGTCAATGCAAACCCGGGTCAGTCGGGCTTTGCAGGATCCTGCAAAATCCTGCACGCAACCCTGGCCTGGCTCCGTGCACCCCTGGCTCTGCAGGATCTTGCAAAATGCGGCGCTCTGGCTGACCCCCGTGTGCATGGACCTCTGTCACTTGAGCCCCGACCCGAGCCTCGAACCCAGAACTTGGGCGCGCCGCCGAACCTCGGCCCCAACTCCACGACATCGGCTTCGACGCCTCCTTCCGCCTCGGCGTCGTCGTCCGCGGCTCCTCCAGCCCCTACTGCGATCCCTGCTCCTGCGGGGCGACGGCGTCCTCAGCGGGCGCGCCGGGCGCGCGCGCGCACCGCCCCAGGGGAGGAGCGGCTGGCGCCGTCGGCATCGTCGTCAGCGTCGCCCGTCGGCATCGGGCGTGGGCGTCGGCGTCGGCTCGTCGGCTCGTCGGCTCGTCGTCGTCGTCCTCCTCCTCCTCCTCCTTCCTCTCCTCCTGGTCCTCCTCCTCCTCCTCCTCCTCCGCCTCCTCCTCCTCCTCCTCCTCTTCCTCGTCCGTCCAGACCCTCCCTCCTCCCCTCCTCATCCTCCGTCATAGTCCCTCCTCCCCCGCCCCCTCCTCTTCCTCCCTCTTCTTCCTCCCTCTTCTTCATTCATGATCTTCCTCCCCCTCATCCTCCCCCCAGGGGAACGTAATGTCCTGCTGCGTCCCCGCCAGGCCCTTCGAAACAAAAACGATGGGGGTCAAGTCGGGTACGCGCTGGCGCCGCGCGCACGCGTCTTGAAGAACCCAGCAGGAATTCGCATGGAGGGCGGCCCTCGCAAAATGCGGCTCTCACCCAAAACTTTGCCCAAGAGTGCGACCCCCCGTGCGCAACAGTGTGAAACGCCTGCGCGCTTTGTCCGTCGCGGCGCGGCAGCGGCAGTCCGCTCCAGCGCACGGTTATGCAGGGCAGCCGACAGCCTCGACTGCAACACCTGCACGGTTGGAGCGCGGTTCCTTGTCGGGAGAGGTGCTCGCTGATTGCCGCCTGCCTCTATGACTATAACAATGCTGCGGGCCACTTCGAGAAAGAAGGGCTGTCGCCGGGCGCTCCCTCACAAGCTGCAGAACCCCACATTGACGTTTCCTTGTTCAGCTCGAGAGATAGGAGTCGGTTTCTTTCGGCGAAACCGCACTCCCGCCTGAATCGCGAGCCCATGAGCGTTCTTGTAGAAAGACCAGCCGCGCAATTCACAAGATCGTCTGTATGGAGCGCGTGTACTGCAGCGTCGTTGGTACAGCTTGGGGTTACTCTGGTCCTCACCACTCCTCCTCCTCCTCCTCCGCCTCCTCCTCCTCTTCCTCCTCTTCCTCCTCCTCCTCCTCCTCCTCCCCCTCCTCCTTTTCCTCGAGTGTTCTCCCCCTTCTCCTGCCCATCCCCCTCTTCCTTGCAGGCAAGCCCTCCCCGTCGCGCCACCCGGCGTGTCAGCCAGGCGGTCCGGGACCCCGAGGCCTCAGGCGCGCAGCAGCTGCACAGACGGAGGAGGGCAGCGCTTTCAAAACGCCGTACCTCGCCTGAGCGCCGCGCGCATTACTCTCGCAGCCTCGTTTGGAAGAGAACCGCAGGCAACGAAGGGGGGGCTGCCTGTCTTCAACATGTGTGCCTCGCCTTGGCGCCCCGCGCACTTGCCTGAGCTAAACGCATGCACCAATAACGCGGACGGAAGACGGGGCTCTCGCGTGGGACCTCCTCAACAGTATGGCCAGAAGTGTACACTTCTGTAGCAGCAAAAAAGGCTGGAGGCCTCTCGTCCAAAAAATGAAGGAGTTGCCCAACACTTCTGGAACATACTTGCGACATGGCGCAAAACCTACACGGGCGGATGACAACGTTTCGACACGGACCTATCACTGGACACTTCCTTCAAATCTGAGCTCCTACCCCCCGCACTCCTGCGAACTGGAAAGGTGCGCAGAAATTCATGCTCAAAGCGGGTCTCTCGCCAAACTGGTAGGCCCGTGGGGCGAACACACGCTGCGGATGCGGCGCGCGGGGCGCTGCTGGCAGCAGGCACGGCCAGCGGCCTTGCCGCGCCACCTCCTGCGAGGCAGCAGGGCGGCGCCGCCGCGGGCACAGGGAGAGGGGCACACGCTTTGTCGCAGCAGCGGGCGTCCACGCCGCGTTCAAAGGCAGACGTGGAACGCGCGTTGCCGAATTGTGCGCGGCGGAGAGGGGCACACGCACCTCTTGCACAGCCGTGGTAC